CTATCTTCAAGAACAAGCTTCCATCTTCAAACCCTAATTTCTTCCAAGTGTTCTTCAAGTTTTGGTAAGTCATATCTTCATCTACCAGTGATTCTACACACTTTTATACAAGTTTCAATCCCTTTACACACGTTTCATGTGTTACTATTCATAGAATCTTCAAATCTTCAAGTGTTCTAAAAGTGTTCTTAGCTTGAACTTTTCCATCACCAACCTTTCTTTCTTCAAGCAAAACATCCAAAGGTGAGTTCATACCCCCCATGTTTTCGAAATTTTTATGTTTTTAGGAGGATAATACAAGTAAAAGTCTAATAAACAAGAATAATAAACAAGTTGTTATAAATATTTGCTTATATGTTGCATAAAAGTGTTAAACACATGAAACGATGTTATTATCAAGCTTTATGAACTTCTATATGCGAAATTTGTTTAGAATACAAAACTATAAAAAAAACAAGTATAAACATGCTAGATGTTCTCATGAAAAATGTCATAAACCCGAAATCATAAAAAAAACTAGGGTTTTATGGACACAATATGGATAATCTAGCAAAAATGGTAATAACCAAGTTATTACACCATTTTTGTGAGATTCAAACCAATATATGTTATTTTGGGTACATATCTTAAAACTAGTCAAATATACCAAAGTTTTAGTTTTACAAAAGAAAACTCCAAAAATCTATCATTTTATGTAAACATGAGTTTTATAGCAAAAATTGTCATAACTAGCGTATGGCACCATTTTTACGGGTTTTGACCAAAAATATGTTGTTTAAAACACATAAAGTTAACTTGACCAAAAATCACAAAAAAGTAAAAATAAGTTTTACGTAACTATATTTTCACTATTTACCATTTGTGACGTTAAAAGTCAAAAACTAGAAAATTTGACATTTTCACACTAAGCACTCACTTACTTGTGCTAGATGTAAAATACTTGTTATTTATGAATATCTAAGTATACAAAACCCTACATTTGTATATATATGTATAAATGGGCACGAAAACCAAATATTATAATAAACTATATAAGTATGGTTTATGAATCTTTAGCACCTTTGTAACATGTTGAGCAAAGTGTGCAATTATATAAAATACATATATAATTATTTCATTCCATGATTTCTTTTATCATATTAAAATGATAAACATTTCATACAAAGGTTTTCATTACAAAAACATGTGAACTCGTTGAATAAATTTGTGAGACATTGTCTTCA